ATATGTGTAATAGCGTTGCAATTGAAAAAAAGCGAGTGCGTTCCATTGCATTTGAAATGTAACACTATTTGATAATATTTCTTTATACATTATAAATTTCATTATAAAATGTGAGATATGCTCCTATAAAAACGTTTCTTCTACAAATTCTTTTTATCGCTCATCTCAAGTTTTGCCAAAAAGTTCTCAAATCGTCGTGAGCACGCGTCTCGCATTCTCTTACAACACAAAACCCGCTGACATTTCTTTTATATATCTTTGTTATCTTTCTTTCTTCTTAATATATATAAATTAAGTGTCACGTTGTTTGTCCGCAATGGACTCCTAAACTACTGAACCGATTTTAATTAAATTTTGCACACTGTGTGCAGTTTCATCCAACTTAAAAGATAGGATAGTTTATATCTCAATTTATATTCGCAATATTATTTTATTGCGAATTATTTGTTTATTAACAAAGAGTCATGATTATCTCTGTTAGTTCGATAAGATTCTAAACAGATGGCGGTATAAGGTAATTCGTTGACTTAAATACGTGTGTATTGGACTGATTGTGAACCACAGCAATGCGTGGCGGGGTACGCACCTATTTTACTATATTTTGATTCGATGTCTTGTGCTATTTTAAGAGAATATCATCAGGGAAATATGCATGTCTCAAAAAGTTGTGCTTAAATAACTTAATTCCTCGTAATCACTAATAAACTTTAATGTCTCATACGTTGAGACATCGGAGTGATAAGCTAGAATCGCGATGTCTCATACGGTGAGACAGCGGAGTGCAAAGGGTTAAATAAAAAATAAAATAAAAAATTTAAAAAAAGAAATAAATAATAAATAAATAATAAAAAAGAAATTATAATAATAATAATATATAATTGATTTATTTAATAATAAATAATAGAAAAGATATAATAGTTAAATTAATCTGTTAACCGGGGAATTCCTTTTTTTTTTATTACGCAGCTTTTTTTATTATTCATTTATTATTTTTTTTATATATTTATTTATTATTTATTATTATTGATGCTTAAAATAAATGAAAAGACTATGAAATATATCTTTTTTTCGTTTATTTATATATAAAGTACAAAGGTTTGTACATTTAACTTTAAAGTAATACGTTTTTGACGTATTTATACGTCCCACTCGGTAAACAGGTTAAATTAATTTTAATTGTATTCCTAAAAATGTTTAAAAAAAATATATATATATATATTTAAATAATTAATAATAGACGTAGGTAAAAATTAAATAAAATTGATATAATTGAATGAAATTAATTTGATTCATATTACGCAAATTTGATCATGTAAAAATGAGTATAGAAGAGAAAATTCAAATTTAACTTGAACATAGAAAAATTTATTGAAGTATAAAAGATTCCTCATTCTTTCAGTTATCCAATTTAAGGAATTTTCACTTTGAAATGGTCCAAATCACTCATCTCTATCTTCACGTATGTTGTTACAACGTTTACTGAAAGAAAGAAAGAAAGAAAGAAAAAAAGAAAGAAATAAAAAGAGTTTATGAATGCTAACACGATGAGAAAAAAACTTTTACGAGCATTACGCAGAGAGAGTCTCTCTTGAGTGTTTCCTTCTTGTCAGTTACTTTATCTCTTTTTCTATTCCTTTTCTCTTTCTCGTTCTCTTTCTCTCATTCGATCATTATTTTCTCATTCCTCTCTTATCGGCTTAAAGATGAATGACACTCGTGGATACTTAGTACTAGTTACTAGTAATACTAGTAGTAGTTACTAGTATGCTTATAGCTTACCTTTCAAAGTATCTTTTATATTTCTAGACAAAGTTCTACTAAATTGTTCAGTTCTTATTTTTACAGAATTTGAAAATAATTAGTAATTAATTATTATTATTATTATTATTATTATTATTATTATTATTATTATTATTATTATTATTATTATTATTATTATTGTTATTATTATTATTATTAACTGGCATTAGAAACTCGAAAGTTCATTGCCGCAAATACCAAATGCCGCCATTGTTCCCGTCCCTGAGCGCGATCCTTCCATTCGCGGTCTTCGTATCCTATTTCTTTCAGGTCTCATAATTAGTAATTAATTAATAATTAATATTTAATTTCAAAAGCTCATGTGTTCTTATAACATTTACTTTTATTTGTAGAATATAATGGTAAAATTTTGTGGAATAATATTAGAACACTAGTTGCAAAATTTTGTGAAATAATATTAGAATATCTAGTATATTTTCTTGATTATTATTAACTAGATTAAAGTTTAATCATTTTCGAAAGTAAAATATAACGATAATATTGTATAGGTAAAAATAAGAACAAAATGTTATGCAAACATGAACTTTTAAATGCTTTATTTACAAAAGTTTTTAAACAAACTATGAAACATTAATGAATTGATTTTTTAATTTTTAATTAATTAATTATATTAATAATTAATATTTAATTTCAAAAGCCTATGTTCTTATAACATTTATTTTCTTATTTTTATTTGTAGAATATAGTTGCAAAATTTTGTGAAGTAATGTTAGGACACCTAGTATTTTTTCTTGAATATAATTAACTAGATTAAAGTTCAATCATTTTCGAAAGTAAAATATAACGATAATAATAATCGCATTTATTTCAATATTATGTTTTATTTGTCAATGAAACAATATATTCAATAAGTTTCCTCGTTTATATTTGTGAAAAAGAACATTATTATTATTATTATATATTTAAATTATGTTGTGTAAAATAATCTTTTTAGCGGTTAAAATAAATTCTCTTTATATTTACGTCAAACAAAAATTGTTAGGTAGATTGAATTTTCAGTTTAATAAATAGATTTATAAACAAAGATAATTTCATCACATTAATTGCAATATTATAAAATTATATTATATAATATATACTAATATTATATATATATAATAATAAATAATAATAAATTTTAATATATTTAAAATACCATCTAATTTATAATTATATAAATATAAATTTTTGATATTTT